ACCCCTGAACCCTAAACCCCTGAACCCCTGAACCCCTCAACCCCTGAACCCTAAACCCCTGAACCCCTGAACCCCTGAACCCCTAAACCCCTGAACCCCTGAACCCCTGAACCCCTGAACCCTAAACCCCTCAACCCTAAACCCTAAACCCTAAACCCCTAAACCCTAAACCCCTAAACCCTAAACCCCTAGACCCTAAACCCTAAGACTCTGAAGGTTCCGGCCGAGTGGCTTTTGAAATTCGAAACTACTGCCAGCTTGACCAGGCCTCGCCCGGAGCTGTTCTTGGGGTTTTAAGGGCTTTAGGGTCTAGGGTTTTAGGGTTTAGGGTTTAGTCAGGGTTTAGGGTTTAGGGTTTTAGGGTTTGGGGGTTTAGGGTTTAGTCAGGGTTTAGGGTTTAGGGTTTAGGGCTTTAGGGTTTAATGTTTAGGGCGCCCGGAGCTGTTGTTTTTTGTTTTTTTTGGGTGTCGGGTAATATGAGGCTTGCTACAAGGGGTTTTGGGTTGAGGGTCCTATAACAAGGGTTGCCAAAAGGGGTACTATTTTGACTGGAGGGCTGATGTGTATGTTCACGGCATGTATAGCTATGTCGTGAGGGAACCTATGGAATGCTGGCACTGATTGTTCAGGTCACGATACTACGGCTTTCCGGTAAGCCCTAAGCCCTAAGCCCTAAACCCTAAACTCTAAACCCTAAGCCCTAAACCCTCAGCCCTAAACCCTAAATAAACCCTAAAGCCCAGACTACATCATTCCGGGTTAGGGGTTTTGTGTGTAGGGCTTTAAGGTCTGGTCCTTTCGGGTTTAGGGGTGTAGGGGGTTGGGTTTTTGGTTTAGTAGGATTTAGGGTTTAGGGTTTAGGACTTAAGACTTAGGACTTACGGCTCAAGGTTTGAGTTTGGTTTCGATTTCAGGCTTAGCTGCTTTACTTTAGGTGTTGATGCTTGGGGTGTAGGGTTTAGGATTCGGAAGCTTCGGGGTTTTACGAATTTTGAGGAGTGCCCATTGAGGTCTGCACTGTTAGCACCTAGCATGCACCATAGGTGTACTTTTTTAAGGGTTCAACCAAACGTGGAGGAGTCATCATTCAGATGACTCTTCCTGAAAATGTGCTAGATTTGTTGGTTGATTGCCTTCTAGAATGGGGTCTTCAAGATTGGGGATCGCATGACACGCCCTATAAAAGGTTTCGCAGATATACATCTGAGTTATCGTAGCCCCAGTTTCAATATTGAGAAACGGGATACGACTGCACGTGCCTTTCTGAAGGCATCATGGGAGGTTGCCACGAACCGTGGGACGACTTGTGTCCAATCTGGCACCCTTCCATGGGGCACCACCGCAGACCCTTGGCCGGAATGGCCTCAGGGCCGTGTTCCTTCCCTCGCGACTGTTCAAGAAGTTCACGGGGCCAACGCGCACATCGCCGAGAGCGAGCATTCGCAGATGTGCTCTGCACTCCGCGGCGGCCTTTTCACGGCTCTTGTCACCGCTGACACCCAGAAAGAGTTCATGGGCCGGTGTCCTAAACCCTAAACCCTAAACTCATGGACCCTTTGATCCTGAGCTCCTGTCTGGGCGGCGGGAATACACCGATGCGTCTTTGCATCGCTGGACGGAAGAGGTGGCCTGCTACTCGTAACCACTGTTAAGGGTTTAGGGTTTAGGTGGCCACTGAAAAGCGCCTCAAAGCTTCCTCTTATGGAAGAGCGAGGCCGTGCTTGATGATAGCTGGAGACTACGTTGGATAAGGCTTCCAGGAACACCCGAGTCTTCAAGATCACCTAACACTACATCCTAAGCCCGAAACCCGAAACCGGGACCTTAGTGACAGGAGTGTCATACGCTTAAGGGTTTAGGGTGTCGGGTTTAGTTACAGCAAAGAGGGTACTGCAACAGGCCTCCTTTTTAGGAGGACCCCTCAATACACTGAGGAACCTTTCGTTTCCCTTAGAGGAACTTATAGTAACCCTTAAAGAAGGAGCCGTTACAGTAACCCCAAAAGGAGGCCTAATTGTAGTCCTTGAAGGAACTCTTTTAGCGAATGTTCAACGAGCTTTTACAAACCAAGTTTTTGAAAGCCCTTTGTGACACAGTCCGGTCGGGCTCTCCGGAAACTTGGTTTTCCGGGCGACGAGCAGGTTTGGGTGTAGTGTTGAGTCAGTGTTGAGGGTTTAGGGTACATCAAATTCATCAATATTACCAGCCTTGCTGGTGTTTGAACTTGGACTAGCAACTTGTATTGTCATCATTGTGAACGGTGTCACTAAACTTGTTGTGGTTGTTGATATGCATCTAATGCAGAAATCTAAGGATAATTCCAATTTATGTGATGATGATGATGATGATGATGACGATGATGATGATGATGATGATGATGATGATGATGATGTTGGAGGTGATGCGGATGCGGATGACGATAATGACCATCAAGCTCGTGATCATAACGGTTGCTATTTCTACTATTGTCACGTCTTCTTGTCGTCGCCACATTACTACACAGGCAAGGGACAGTTCCTCTGATCTCAAGATCTTTAGCAGGAACTGGTTGTAGAACGACTTCCTGTGATTCAGATGGAAACCTCCCCTCAACTCGCCAACCACCCTGCAAATTTAGAGTCCTTACGGCTTGCGGCAGCTGCAGCAACCCGGAAACAACCATGTCTTCCCTGAGCTCACAGCTTTAAGCCGGACCCTGAACCCACAATTTGGCCAAGAACGTTCGCAGCCCGTTTTGCAGGTGTGGGTGCGCAGCAGCGATTCCCTTCAGGTCACTTTTGAGTTGTTGGACGCCAGGTACGCAATTTGAGATGGCTTTTTGTACAGGTCAGAGTTTTGGAGTAATCAAGTTGTGAGAACCTAACGGCTAATTACCTGTACTATTGCGTGGGTTCCTTATTCTATTTACAGTATGACATACCCCAAAACGCTCTTCTCATTATTAAGGCCCCTACCTTGAACGAAGCCATATCTCCAAGCCCTCCTTTGTGGCTTTTTGTTTCTCCCGACTTGAATGGTGCATCCATCTCTGATTTGGGGGTATCATCAGAAATTCAGAAACTTCCTTAGGTTGTGGCCGTGAGGCTTAGGAGTTACGGTTATCGATGTTCTGCGATATACTCTACTGTAATTATTCAGGCCCCTGTATTGGTCTACTTCCTCGGGGATTCATTCAGGCCAGCGGTGGTTTAGGGTTTAGGGGTTCAGGGTTTAGGGTTTAGGGGATAGGGTATTTAAGTTTAGAGGTTTAGGGTTTGGGGTTTAAGGGAAAGCAGGAGGGAGGTCTAGAAGGGACCCTTAATTGTAATACCCTATATAACCCTGATATACCCCTTATATAGTCTCATGAAGCCCCTTTCTAATCCCACGGATCCCTTTAAGGGTCCCTCCTTTAGTCCCTTAAAGGGTTGAGTTTGAGAGTATGGGGCATAAACCCAAGCCCATGTCGAGTCCCTAAACCCTAAACCCTAAACCCTAAACCCTAAACCCTGAACCCTAAACCGTCCATATCTCTAACAGACAGAGGAACCCTTTGAGGATCCCTTGCGGAAGTCCCGAAAGGAGCTTGTAGTGGTACCCCTATAATGTAAGCGCCTTAATAATTAGATTAGAGTTTGGGGGTATATTATATTCTGGTATCCTTATAGTAAGGAACCCCCCAC